GGGCACAAGAGAACTCAATGCTGGAACCTTTAACACAGGGAAGATGCCACGACAGGAAAGGCTGCTGCCCAGAGAGGTTGTTGGAACTGTGGAGAGCAAGGACATGTGAGGAGCCAGTGTAAGAAGAATACTACCAATAGATCACAAAGGAGTACCAGAGGCCATACAGAAGCTCTGTGGCATGACAAGACATTCTGCAAGGTTGTGGGGACCAGTGTGGGTAACTATTGAGCTCATGGGCATGAAGGACAGACACAAAAAATACTTGTCTGACATTGAAGACCAATGCATATTAGGGTTGGACTACTTACTACTGAGGATAAAATTTGATAAAATGACGTTTGGGAACAACAAAGGCCAAATTCCAGTAAGTATTGCTGCATCTGTTGATTTGCATGTCACAGCACTTAAGTCAACTACAATAGAATATGTCAGACAAGATAATTTGGGGTGGAATAAAAGAACATCCTTAAAGAAGCCTGATGCTTGTGGAAGCAGTGGAAGACCCATCCAGGCCAGAGGACATGAAGATTGGATAGTCATTTGTGCCAGGTCATCAACTAGTACCCATAACAGTGGCTAATTTCTCTAAATGTCAGCAGACACTTAAGGAAGGGGCATTGTTGGGTGTGTGCCAGGAAGTAGTCAGTCAATGTTAAGGCAAGAAATACGACCAAAGAGAAAGGACATCCTCTCCCAGAACATTTAACTGACCTCTATAAGAAGAGTATAGTTGTCAGTCATCATCACAGGATCTTCAGGTTAGGGAACTTTTGGCAAATTATGCAGACGTCTTTTCAAAAGGAGATCATGACCTCGGCTGCACAGATCTTGTAGAGCACAGAATAAACACAGGCAATCACTGTCCAATAACGATCCCTCCGAGAAAAATAGCTCCAGCAAAGCAATAAGAAATGGAGAAGGTCATGGATGGCCTAATTAAGGAAGGGATAATCGAGAAATCAGATATTCCCTGGTCAGCTCCTGTTGTGTTAGTCCAGAAGAAGGATGGGACCCAACGTTGCAGTGTGGACTTTAGGGCTCTTAACAGTTTAACCAAAAAAAAATTCATACCCACTGCCAAGAATTGATGATACTCTTGATGCCCTAAGTGGAGCAAAATGGTTTTCAACTCTGGACTTAATGTCAGGTTTCCATCAAGTGAAAATGACTGAAGCAGATAAACATAAGACTGTATTTAGTTATGGCCAAGGTCTCTGGCAATACCGTGTGATGCCATTCGGGCTTAGCAATGCTCCAGCAACATTTAAGAGGCTGATGGAACGAGTATTGGAAGGCCTACAATGGAGAATAGCCCTAGTATATCTGGATGATGTCATTGTGTTTGCAACAACGTTTGATGAGGAAATGTCCCGGCTAGAGGAAGTATTCAAGCATATGAAAGCAGCGAATCTCAAACTCCATCCCAAGAAATGCCACTTGTTCCAGAAAGAGGTGCTTTACTTGGG